GGGTTGGTTGTTTTTCTAATTGACTACACACGGTCCTCCCTGCTCTGATGCGACCTTTTCGAGCTGGATCTTCACTAGCAGGCACTAGGACTGTCTAACAGTCCGCACATCGTCTGCCCCTTACAAGAATTGAGCCATGCGAGACCAACCTGTCGTGTCTTCTACCTTCGAATATGCGCGCCATCGTAGAAGCGGTTCTATATGAAACCTACATAGAATTACTGTTTTGACTATTTTTGAGCTAGTTTTTGGAACAAACGTCCTCTTTTTAGTCGTGAGAATTTGTCTCTAAATTTCTCTCCATGAGAGTGTCTCTGGATTTCAGGCTTAGGGCAGCCAGTTTCATGGGGGAATGTTGAAATGGTGTCGATCCATGGCGTCGATCCGGACTTACACTGTGTTAACCTCCATCTGGATGTTTTCTATATCCCTTCTAAAATTATGCTGTTAAAATAAGTCCTATTCTTGTTCTCCTCCTTTTTGGCAACGGAAGAATATGAAAGAAGTGCTGCTTCTTCCCTATTCCTCACATTGCTATTTTCCACCATCAATAACAAGTAATTAAACCAGGTTTTTATTATTAATTGAGTAATACACTTTACTTCTTGTTTTGCTTCATTTTCTTTGAAATATTTACTTCTTTTAACATTTGTAACTTTGCTTATAATATATTTAATAGTGATAACTACTTTAATTTTGGGTTAGGGTTTGGGAATCAAAGTTGTAGTCTAGCCTCCGTTTGTTTGAGTAAATCTGCTTAATTTTACAACTTCGAAAAATAAAGCGTTTTAGGTATGTCGGCTCACCCATTCAATGTTGGATGCCTATGGAGTTCAAAGGCGGCTGGGAACAGTATGCTGAAGATTATTGTTTCATTCAAAATACGTTCTTCGTGCCATTTCACGAGGAGATTCCTGCGGATGATGAAGATCGCTCAAAGGTGGTTCATTTTAACTAGTTCATTAGTTCTTTACACTCCATAGTTCTTTAGAAACCGAGTGGAGTAGAGGAGGTAATTTGAAGATGTGAGGGTAGAGTTCCGTTTATGTAATGCTTGAGCAGTCTTATTCATAAGAACGTTCTCAATTACTTGTAAAGCACGACTTAGGATCAAGTCGGTTTGGTGACAGCGCTCGTTAATGAAGCGCTAGCGTTTGCCTAATGAAGTCGCTTATAGGGCTTTTCTGCCACAACGCCACCACGTATCGCATCGTCAGAAGCCTCTGCTTTTTTCAGCTTTCGCACCATTTCACTCGCTCCATCCTGGGCCGTGCTTTAAGCGTTCCATTTACAATGAGTGCACACTCAGCGCCACATGACTCATTCAGCCAGGGACCCTTCGATTCAAGTGCGCCGTAGTGGTACCTATTCAACACTTGAATGTCTCAAAGCAGTGTAGATTCATGGCACTTGCTCTGGTCTGGGATCGTTTAAGGGGGTCACTTGGGTTCAACTTGTTCAGGAACCCCTGCTC